TCTTCGGGGTGGGAGAAAAGGTATGAAAGTATTCAACTCCCTGCCGCTGACTGAAGCCTCAAGCCACGTAACGCGCCTTGAAGACAGGCGGAGAGCACGGCGGCCGCTTCACCCTGAAAATCCACATGCCACTGACGATGTTCGCCCCAGGTGGGGGAACCTCGTCAACGTAGGTGCCTGTGGAATTCCAGGAAGCCATCTCTGCGTCCATGGCTGACTGCCACTGAGAGGAGTTGGGACCCTCGATCGCCTCAGCGTACGATCGAGGAGTCGGGATGTGTGGTGCATCCGGGTCTCCCTCAGGGGCAACGAGATGAGGAAAAGCAGCAGCAAAACACTGGAACTCCTCCTGCCTGTCTCCAACGACGTCCGTGCTAAGAGCACACTTACCCCCGACGGACAGAGGACAGACAGACTCAGACTCAGCAACAAGACTAGTGGCGTAGTCGAGACGACAGCGAGCATCAAAGTGGACAAGCTCAGCAACCAAGGCAGACGAAGCAGTGGACTCAAAGGAAGGGTCAGTAACAACAGTAGCCAGGAGACGCGGGACAGTAGGACTGGCAGCACGAAGAGAGTCCGACTCGGGTCAGCAAGAACAGATAGAGAGGTTTCTGGAGGAGACGGCAACGGGACACGCAAAGGAGCAGTGGAAGGACGCAGTGCCATCCGGTGTGTGCTCGGAACTGCAAAAGGACGCGGACGTGGAGCACGACTACTAGTGCGAGCGGCACGAACAGGCGACGCAGGACGAGACGCAGGCTCACGACGCTCAGCAAGACCTCTAGTAGGACCAGTGTAGGGAGAAGGAGCAGGCAGTGGGGAGGCGGGCTATAACAGTGACTCAGACTAGACAGGCGGTGGACACTCTAAGGAAGGAGTAGGACCAGTAGAGGGAGGGAGACCAAGAACCTGCTCAAGGAGCAGAACGAAGTACGAGTGCGGCCACGCAGGGCCTCTAGAACCAGCAGGGACAGCACCAATACCTCAAGTGGCAGCGCCAGCGCCAGCAGCACCTCCAGCTCCAACAGCGCCAACTCCAGCACCCTCAGAAGCACCAGCGCTAGCAGCACCTCCAGCTCCAACAGCGCCAATTGCGGCACCCTCAGAAGCACCAGCGCCAACACCCCAAGCTGCTCCAACTCCAGCAGCTTATGCTCAAGTAGGACCGTCAGCTCTTGTACCGCAAGCAGCTCAAGCAGTACCTCCAGCAGGACCAACTCCAGTAGCCCCAGCAGCTCTAGTACCGCCAGTATGAGCATCTCCAGGACCAGCAGCACCACTAGCACCTCTAGCTCCAGCAGCACGGCTCCAGCACCGGGCAAACCACTCGCGCAGCTCCTGCGGAGAGGGTAGCTCCCGCCTCGACGAAGCACCGCCAGAGGCCACACGAGCAGACCGGCACCCCCAGGCTCCGCACCCCCAGGCTCCGTACCCCCAGGCTCAGCACCCCCAGACTCCGCACCCCCAGGCTCAGCACCCCAAGACTCGGCTCCCGCAGGCTCAGCACCCCTAGACTCAGCATAGTTGGTAGGGGTGGCGACGGGGCCGCTAAGGGTGGTGCGAGGGGCCGTGAGAGGGGCTTCTAGGAGGGCTCATCAAGAGGGCGGCAAATGGGGCGCGCCTCGGGCAGGGGCGACTCGCGCTCCGGTCAGAAAACAAAAAAATCGATTTCAGTGGTGGGCCCTAGAAAGCGTTCCCACTAGGGAACCTGCTCTATACCATGTGAAGAAATGAGGAATGAATGAACCAGGAAAGAAGTGGGTACAAGTAGAAAAGCGTAGAAATGTTGTACCCCATATTGTCTACCCCACTACAGCCTACACAAACTAAAGCATATGAGTTTGACAGAAACGTCTTCATAAATGTCATGTAATTGTCCCGCATGCAACCCGAAAATGTCCCTAGAGACTCTTGGGGGACATTGCTGCGGATGGTTTGGGGACACTTTTAGGACATTTCACTTCATCTCGAAAGTGTCTTTCATGTCGACCGTCGACGGATCGGAGGTTGGGCTCATCATAAAGCACCTTGTGGATCAGAGTTCGTCGACGGGCTGGCGGATCAGAGGGTGGGCTTGTGGACGACCTTTCTTCTTAACCAGCAAGGTCTGCTATTGACTACAAAATCTCGTCGAACAGGGTAGGGCCGTTTTGACAACCACTGTCGCTTGATCACGAAAGACCATTCGACGTCCACTTCGTGCGTATATCCATTGAGTGACAATAGGTAAGTGGTCCCACAAAAAAAGCGCCTCCAAGGTGCCTTGCCCCTCAGTAGAGTGGTGTTTTCTCCATGCTTTGGTCGGCTTCAATGCAATTATGCCTTCAGAATCAAGCTTGATTGCATGGGTGCAACGGTGGCACCTATTTGCAGTGTTAAGATTGTTGGTGACATTGATAGAATGATAAATCACAAAGCCAATAGGAAGCACCGTATTTCAGCCATGCGCTTATATCGGTAATGGGCTATCTGTTGCATCAGACCTGGCGAGTGGTTTAGTAATTCTTTAAGACTTCCCAACTTTGTTTTGTTAAAAATATCAGACCTCGTAGAAACAAAGGTATGATGAATCAGACTATGCTTTAAGAAACTGATTGTAAATACAGATTCTCTCCCTCTCTCTCTCTCTCTCTCCCTCTCTCTCTCTCTCTCTCTCTCTCTCTCTCTCTCTCTCTCTCTCTCTCTCTCTCTCTCAAGCAGTCCTTTATTGAAGTGTATATGGGGTACAGGGAAGGCATGTGCAAGATTCCAGCAAGCAAACCCTAGGCATGCAAGATAGATTATCATGGCGTTGAGCAAACAGTCTAGGTACTTGGCCGGCTAGCCTGCAACCATGCAACCCCAACGGTGACCAGGCCAAGCCAATACCCTCCTTAAAGGTCTGCCCAATGGCTGGCCAGCGCAGCCGAGGGGCCTACCCAGTGCCCTGAGCCCCCTTACCGCGGCTTGGAGGGTCCTCTCGCTCCGCCCCCCCCTTCTCTTCTCACCCATCCAGGGCCGGCCCCCAGCCCAGCCCATCCTCAAGGACCTGCTAGAGGTCCCCAAGGCTGGGTTCCCACGGGTCTACTGGGGCCTGGGGGAAGGCCCTCACCGTTGCCCTGTTGGACTTTGCCAGCTGGGCGTTTGCCTGGCTGCGCTGCAGCATCACCGACCAGCGTTGTCGGTAATGCGCAGTCAGCTTGGAGGCCACCAAGGTAAGCCTCCCCTGCCTGTGCCTTTTCTTCGCCGCCTGCGTGCCAAGGAGACAAAGGAACCTCTGGGTATCCTGCGCCAAGGCACCATAAGTCTCCACCGCTAGCCCGAATACCCCTACAAAGTCCGGGCGCCCCTCGTACAGCCCCCTTTTCGTCCTTGCCGCCTCCTCTGCCGCCCAGCCCGGTCCACTGGTGGCCCCTAAATCACGCCGTTGTAGCAGCGGATTGGTGACCGTGACGTATGTGACGAACGTTTCAGCAGACTCACGGTCTTTGATAGCCAAGTCTGCTCGCTTAGGGTTGACGGGTTGCGAGTAGACGATGGTCTCATGCAAAGTCATGTAATCCGCTTCGCGCGCCATTTGCAGTGCCGCATACACCAGGGAATTATGCGTGTTCGTCCTGTCCTTTCCTTCTGCGCACCTCAGCAGGTGGTTGGGGAGGCTCTGGTCATTCATCTGTGATCGTTCACCGTGGCACGGGCATGTGTCTGTTAATGGCAGGGTCAGCCCTGTTGGTGCAACCCTACGGTTTGCACTCGGCTTGTTGTCCATGTGCGTGCATGTGTGTGTGTATGGAATGGTATGAGGGCATGGGATAATATATATTTCATGCTTATAATTGTGTGTGAATGTTGAGTCATGATGTCGAGTGTGTGTGTCGAGTCAATAGCAAGATATCGCTAGACGCGTGTTACGCGGTCGTTTGTGTCTCGCGCGCGGTTTCTATTTTGTCCTATGTCGAACGTTCGGCGTGTCGCAGGTGTGTGCAGAAGACCCATCAAGAACTCAAGGATGAGTTTGTGATGAAGAGCCCGAGCCTTTGTGTCAGGTCTCGAGTGATTTCGAAGCTCGCCAAAAGGGTGCACCTCAAGATATTGAAGATAGTTACATTACTTTGTGTAGTGTAACATTTCACTTGGTGTAGGCCCTAGTGAAGGGTACTTTCGAGACCCTTCGTGGTTGGGGACAGTGTGGCACTGTTCCACATCACTGTACCTTGGCTCTTGGGGTTTGTAGGAGCTGGGAGTCATTCCCAACTCGTAACTCTTCCTAACTCTTCCTATCTTGTGTTCTAAGACTATGTTGCTGCCATAGTGCCGTTCGTTCAAACCGATGCTATGTCATCATTTCCTAAAAAACGCGTGCGATTTAAATTGCCTATTGTAGGCGACGTCAAGGCGCTCCAGATCCAGGTTGAATGAAGTCATTTGGAGTTGTGAGCAGATCGCTATGAACGTTTGAAGCTGCTGTGCAGAAATCCGACTATGCACTCTATCTTTCGTTTTAGGCACATTGGAGCCTGCTGTGACTTTAACAAGTGGTATCAGAGCCCCTTGGAGCAGTTTCGACAATGGCTGGACCTGAGGAAAGGGTTGGCAGAGGTGCTGGTGGCAGAGGAGAAGCCCAAGCTCAAGGCCAACCCCGTGATTCAACCACGGCGCCCGTGCAACCAAGTGTGGGCCCATCTAGGGATGAGCCTAGAGTGTTTGGCCTTGACAAGTTCAATGGTGACAACTTTGCTGAGTGGTCCTTCAGAATGGAGAACATATTTGACCACTATGACCTGCTGGAGGTGATGGAAGGAACGGAGAAGCGTCCCGAGAACGACCCGGAGAAGAGCCCGTGGGTGCGGAAGAGCGCACAAGGCTACCTCCTACTAGGGCAAGCGTTGGGGAGCAGCCAAATCCGTCACATCAAGCCTTTCCAGCATGAACCAGAGAAGGGACCAAAGGCATGGGCTGCTCTCAAGGGTGTACACGCTCCTGCAACAGCGGCGGTAGCTGTGGTGCTGGAACGGCAAATGGCGACGTTACGAATTGAAGAGGATGAAGCGGTTGAAGAAGGGGTGGAGAAATTCTTCGACTTGTTGACGCGGCTTGAGGGAGCGGATTTGAACTATAGTGAGCTCCAAATGAAGACCAAGTTGCTGGCCCTACTCCCTGAATCATGGTCCTCGCTCATCATCAACCTGAATCGCGACTTGCCCTGCCTCTCGCTCGAAGATGTGAAGCGAGCTATCCTTCAAGAGGATTTCCGCCGCCGTGAGTTGGCGAGTGCGGATGGCGCTGGGGCAGCGAGCATCGGCCGTGGATATGGTCGAGGAAGAGGCAGAGGACGAGGGGGAGGAAGGTTTGGTGGCAGCAACTTCGGCAGAGGCCGTGGAAGTGGCGGTTATGGCAGCGACGACAAGAGCTACGGGCGCGGTCGCGGCCGATTCGACGGCGAATGCCATTATTGCCACAAGAGCGGACATATGTGGCATGATTGCTACAAGCTCCCTGATGGTTGGACCCCTGCTCATGTCCAGGAGGGAGAGGAAGAGGCCGTGGAGGCCGTGGCGGTCGCGGTGGCGGAGCTGCAAACATGACGAGCGGAGACAATGACAAGGACCCGAGCAACGATCGGTACCCGGGTCTATTCTACTTCGTATCGACGCAAGTACCGACTGGTCCAGAGAAGGATGAAGGCTTTGAGGAGCGAGCAGCTGTAGGGAAGGTGACCCTACACCCCTTGGACTATTGGGTGATGGATAGTGGCGCTACCTATAGCATGACACCTCGCCCGGACTTGCTCACTGAACTCGAGCCGTCACCGGTTAAGCATGTCACATCGGCTTTGGGGCAGCGAGCGGAGGTGAAAGGCATAGGCAAGGCCATGTTTAAGGGTGCTGATGGGAAGATGGTGGGCCTCAAGAACGGGCTTTGGGTGCCCAGCCTTGCTGCGAACCTGATCTCCGTGCGGCGGTTGGCAAAGGCCGGCATGGACACGAACTCGAAGGGAGCCAAGACCTACACCGCAAGGCTTGGCGATCGAATTCTTTGGGACCTTCATGAGGACAGGGATGTCTACAACGAGATGTGGCAGATCCCAGTGGTCCCTATGCCTAAGGAGAGGCAAGTGGCAGCAAGCATCAGCACCAAGGATGGAGCGGTTGGTAGCGATGATGGCGCGAACGGTCGCGCTAAGGAGAATGAGCTCAAGAAGAGCCAACCTGGAGGGACCAGTCTGTTCAGTGAATCTAAGGAGAGTAGTGCAGCAGCCAAGGAGCAGCAAAAGGGTGAAGAGAACCCCGGGGCAGCAGCGGAGGACTACGGAGAGAGTATGTGGGGCGCTATTGCGAGCGCGGCATTCTCCAATCCAACTTCGGCTACGGGGGAGTGTGATTGGCTCACCTTGCATCGGCGCATGGGGCATGTGGCCCTGCCCATCTTGCAGCAGCTAGTGAAGAATGAGATGGTTGCTGGCATACGTGTGAAGGGGGAGCCCAATGAGGTACTTGGCTGCCCGACGTGCATGCAAGCCAAGTTCACCCGATTCCCGTTCTCTAGTTCGGAGGCGACGGCTAAGGCACCGCTTGATGAGGTGGTGATGGACGTGGTGGGCCCCCTGAAGCTTGGAGCTGCTGAAGCTGAGTATTTTCTCACCATTGTCGACGTCTACACCCGCATGACTTGGGTGTATGTGCTGGCCAAGAAGAGCGACGTGGCTGAAACGTTGAAGACGGATTGGTTCCTGATGGTGGAGCGGCAACAAGACCGTCTAGTCAAGTCAATCCGCACCGATCGAGGGGGAGAGTTCCTGAGCAAGGAGTTTGGGTTGTGGCTGAAGAAGAATGGTATTTGGCACTCTCTCACCATGCCATACTCCCCTGCAATGAACGGCATCGCCGAGCGAGCGAACCGCACAATCACGGAGGCGGCACGCGGGTCGCTCATTGAAGCCGGGCTACCCGACTATTTCTGGCCTGATGCGGTGCGGAGCGCGTGTTTGGCCAAGAACCAAGCCTTGACTCATGTGGGAGCAGACAAATGGGTGCCCTATGTGGAGTGGCTTGGAAGGAAGCCAAAGGTGGATATGCTTCGGGTGTTCGGGTGCATGTGCATGGCGCTCGTGCCTAAGCATTTTCGGCACAACAAGTTTTGTGCCAAGGCGGTGTGGGCCGTGCACTTGGGCATGGCTCAAAACAGCAAGGGATGGCTTCTTTGGGACCCATTCACCAAGAAGTTCTTGGTGAGCAGGGACTGCAAGTTCATGGAGAACTTCATGTACAAGGATTGGAAGGCGGAGAATGAGGCGAAGATAGGCGTGCGGTTTGGGCAAGTGAAGAGTTCCGGTTTGGAGCATGTGGAGCTGCCTTTGGAGCTGAGCAGCGGCAGCACAACCACGAGGCAATCCTCCCTTGTGAATGGGGGAGAGAAGGCCAATGATGCAGAGGAAGAAGAGGAGGGGGTGCAGCAAGTGAGCGAGCGTGCACCGTCACTCCCTTCCCGTACTATTAGTGCTCCACGGATTCGAGCCACACCGCAGCAACACCAAGGCCTTCAAGTCCCTGCAGCTGAGGAGGAAGGAAGGGGGAAGAGGAGAGTTCAACCCCCTAATAGGCTGACTTATGATGCACTGGGAAAGCAGGGCAAGACAGCCCTGGCCGGAGCGGCAATGATGGTCGGAGACGACGAGGAGAGTGACTACGAGGAGTGTGCCTTCTCGTTCTTCTCTCCGGTGGAGATGCCGGGAGAACCAGTAACTCTCAAGGAGGCTTTGGAGAGTAGTGATGCTGAGGAGTGGAAGGAGGCCATGGAGAGTGAGCTGAAGAGCATCGAGGAGAATGACACATTTGAATTGGTGGAGCTACCGGAGGGGCGTACGGCGATAACGTCCAAGTGGCTTTTCAAAATCAAGTCGGATGCCGACGGCAAGATCGAGCGGGACAAGTCTAGGCTTGTAGCCAAGGGGTACCAGCAGAAGGAGAAGGTGGACTTTAAGGAGCTGTTTGCCCCTGTGGTGAAGCCGACGACGCTGCGAACCCTATTCGCGGGAGCCGCCATCAAAGGATGGGTAGTAAAACAAATGGACATCGTAACGGCATTCCTTAACGGCATCCTTGAGGAGGAGATTTTTATGGCACAGCCAGAGGGGTTTGATGATGGTAGTGGCAGAGTGTGGAAGCTGAAGAAGGCCTTCTATGGGCTGAAGCAGGCCCCTAGGCAATGGTACATGAAGCTGCGCGAAGTGTTGGAGGAGATCGGCTTCACTCCCTCAACGGCCGATCACTCCTTGTTCATGCTTGGCGAGGGGGAGCAGACGAGCTTCATGGTGGTTTATGTGGATGAAATTCTCATATTCTCACCCTCCTCTGACCTTGTGAAGGAGGTGATGCTGAAGCTGCATGACAAGTTCAAGTGCAAGTCCCTTGGTGACGTGAACTTCTACCTTGGGCTCCACATCGAACGAGACGTGGAGAAGCGGAGCATGCGAGTACACCAACGGAAGTACCTGGAGGCATTGGCCGCCAACTTTGGCCAGAGTGAAGGTCATGTGGCTACTCCCTTTCCCTCTGGGTTCAAGTGTGTGAAGGGGCCAGAGGAGGAGAGCGTTGGAGAAGAAGAGAGGCGCCGTTTTCACTCGTTGATGGGCAGCCTCATGTATGCGGCGGTAAACACCCGACCGGACGTCGCGTTTGCTACCGGGCAGCAGGCTAGGGTTGTGCAATGCCCTAATGAGAAGCAGGTAGCAGCTGGAATGAGGGTGGCCAAGTATCTTGGCCAAACACCGACCGTTGGGCTGCAATACTCGGCGGCGGCACAAAGGCGCCAAAAGGGCGCGGATGGTGTTGAACCCGGGCGTTTGTTCCTCACCGCCTACTCGGATGCTTCATATGCATCGGAACCAGAGGACATGACAAGTGTGGGAGGCTTCATATGCTGTGTTGGTGGAGGCCCAACTGCTTGGGAGAGCAAGAAGCAGGTTGACCAAGTTTTGAGCTCGGTTGAGTCCGAGTACATGGCACTCTTCCGTGCCGTACGGGAGATTGTGTGGCAGCGGCGTTTGTTGGCTGAATTGGGGGAGGAGCGGCAAGGACCTACCCCACTCTACTGTGACAGCTAGGGTGCCATTTCTCTTGCTAAGAACCCTGTGTTGCATGGACAAACAAAGCACATGAGGGTGAAGTGGCATTGGACGAGGAGCATGGTGACCGCAGGTGAAGTTGAGTTGCGGTACGTGAAGAGCACGGAGCAGCCGGCTGACATGATGACTAAGAGGCTGGTGGAGCAGCAGCATTGGAAGTGTTGCAAGCTGGCTGGGATGGCTCTGAACTGAGAGAGCAACATATCCTAAGGCCAACAATCCGAGGGGGAGTTTGTTGGTGCAACCCTACGGTTTGCACTCGGCTTGTTGTCCATGTGCGTGCATGTGTGTGTGTATGGAATGGTATGAGGGCATGGGATAATATATATTTCATGCTTATAATTGTGTGTGAATGTTGAGTCATGATGTCGAGTGTGTGTGTCGAGTCAATATCGAGATATCGCTAGACGCGTGTTACGCGGTCGTTTGTGTCTCGCGCGCGGTTTTCATTTTGTCCTGTGTCGAACGTTCGGCGTGTCGCAGGTGTGTGCAGAAGACCCATCAAGAACTCAAGGATGAGTTTGTGATGAAGAGCCCGAGCCTTTGTGTCAGGTCTCGAGTGATTTCGAAGCTCGCCAAAAGGGTGCACCTCAAGATATTGAAGATAGTTACATTACTTTGTGTAGTGTAACATTTCACTTGGTGTAGGCCCTAGTGAAGGGTACTTTCGAGACCCTTCGTGGTTGGGGACAGTGTGGCACTGTTCCAAATCACTGTACCTCGACTCTTGGGGTTTGTAGGAGCTGGGAGTCATTCCCAACTCCTAACTCTTCCTATCTTGTGTTCTAAGACTATGTTGCTGCCATAGTGCCGTTCGTTCAAACCGACGCTGTGTCGTCATTTCTTAATTAAAGCGTGCGATTTAAATTGCCTATTGTAGGCGTTGTCAGGGCGCTCCAGATCCAAGTTGAATGAAGTCATTTGGAGTTGTGAGCAGATCGCTATGAACGTTTGAAGCTGCTGTGCAGAAATCCGACTGTGCACTCTATCTTTCGTTTTAGGCACATTGGAGCCTGCTGTGACTATAACAAACCTCAAGTGAGAACCCAGGGCTATTGCGTATTGGCCCGGCGAAAACGTCAGGTCCCCTCTCGTAGGGATGTCGTGTAGCCAATCCCCTGCCCCTACTCCCTGCGGGCTGATCAAGCAGATCACATGGCCGTTATCTTCCCCCGGTTTATCCACCCGAGTATCGCCCATTAGTTCCGCTGCCCGGTCCTGATTGATGTGCTTGGAGAGGAGCTCCTGTAGTTGCCCCTTCCCCCCCTTTTCCTGGCTGAGACCCTTAAGCAGCTCCTGTGCCGCCTCTGGGAGCCTGTTCCGCATATCCTGTAGCGTAGTTCTGCTGCCCACTGCTGCCCCTTCCCCTTGTGGTGAGACCAGCTCCCCTACACGCTGCAGTGGGTGATCTGGTGCGGTCGTAACCTGCTGCAGGAGGGTATGGGCTGCATTTAGCGAGGCGAGGTATGCCGCCGGTGCCTCCGACAGTGGGTCAATGAGCCCTAAACCTCCTAGCGCTACCAGCAGAGTCGCCTGTCTCCATACTAGGCTTTGCTCGAGCTCCTTTGTTGGTGTGTGTAGGTGGGCCGCCTTGAGGGCTGTCCAGAGTAGCCGCTCACTCCACTCTCTCCATTCTCCAAGTGGTAGCGCGTCTATAGGTGTGGTACACAGGAGATAGGATGCCCGGCGGGAGATGCACCGTGATAGCAGCAGCATAGCGTGTTGTGGGTGAAGGCGGCCGATGAGGCCGAGTGGTGCAGACATGGTCCCTAGCGCACCCCTGATAAACCACCTGCAGAATGCCATCATGCCCACTGGGCTCCCTAGGACTCTTATACCGTCCACCGGCGCTACCAGTCCCTCTGGCAAGGTATCCGAGCTTCCCGAGGGGCTCCACGCAGATGATTTGGTGAGGTTACATCTCAGGCCGTGACCATGTAGCTCCCCACAGATCATGTCGAGTGCCTTAATCACCCCTGCCGCCTCCCCCACGATTGTGATGGCGTCGGCGTAGGCCATTATTGTTACCGATGGGACCGATTCTGCCGCTGTCAAAAGTGCCGGTTGGATGGCCATCACGAACAACATTGGGCCGAGCGGGTCTCCCTGGCAGACTCCGCGCGTACTGTCAATTGATGGGACCCTGAAACCACTGTCCAGGAGGACCTTTCATGGTGAGCCGTATAGCGTGCGCACGAGCGGGAGGAGAGATATCAGCCTGGTCCATCTTATCGACCCAAGGAAGCTCCCGCATTCAAAAGAGTTGAACGCATTCTCTATGTCCAGCTGGAGGGCTGTCCGCGTGGGATCTTCCACCAGTAGCGCTCTAGTCGTGTTTATTATGCATTCCGCACCCCTTGGGACTGACACACCAAGCTGTACGGGTAGGAAGTAGCTGCGAATCTCCTCCCCTAGTTCCTTGAGTGCCGCTTTGGCCGTTAGTCGCAGCAGTGCTTCCCCTATTGCTATCGGTCGAACTCCTCCGTCCGGTTTGCTCAGGGCGATCAGTCTAGATGGGAGGAGTAAGTCCTGTATCTGCTCATTCTGGTAGCTGCTTAGCAAGTGGTTCACGAGCTTGTGCAGCAGGTCAAACACTTCCGCGTTGGTCAAGGCAGGGTCACGAAGGTGTTCGAAGCAGGTGCGTGATGAGCCTGCACCGATGCCGTTGGGGCGTTTTGCTAGCAGTTTGCGGAGCTTGTCCGCACTGATGTCGAGCCCACAGGACGTGTAACCATTAACTCCCTCCGGTATTGCCTGTGTTGCTCCTGGGTGTTTTGCGCAGAGGGCCTCGAGTGTTGTCTGGAATGGCTCTACAAGTGGTGATGCGTATAAGGCCACTGTCGCTTTTGCCAAATTCGCCTTCCGAACCAGTCCTTCCGCCCTGGCACAAATGCCTTCGGGGTCAGGCTCGTGTCTGGGGGGTTTGGAATCTGCAGGGATGGTGCTGGCCTAAAGGTACAGTGCATCCCAATCCTCGTCTCGGAATTGTCTCAGCCTCGACACCACCGCATGCCATTTGTTTCCCGGAACTTTCTCTAGAGTTGCCCTCGGGGTCAGTTTGGGCAGGAAAAGCAGGATTTGCCAAGCCCCGAGGCAGTCTGGTTGCCTTGATAGTTGCAAGAGTGGTATGGTGAAGCAGTGACTGAACGATTTTAGAATTTATGGCGGAAGCTTCCTGACCAGAAAGGCTGGGAGCTGGCTCAGAGGGGACCTCGTAGAAACTAAGATTCCTAAACCAAACCAAATTGAGAACCAAACAAACATGGCAAACCAAACACGCAACTACCACACAACTGCCTTCTCTAGAGCTCCAGAAAAGGCTCAACCACCGCAAAGCAGTCCCCAAGATGCATCTCCTGCCCAATGCCTCCTACAGGAGGGTTTTCTGCCACCGCTGCCTCTCCTAGCTTAAGGAGGAGCCCCATGGACTGAGCCCTCTGAAGAGCCACCGACCATCTCTGACAGAACTGGTGTAGGAACTTGGCGGCATAGAATGATTTTGAATCAGCGTTGAAGTGTCGCCGAGCCGCCGTGTCCGCTAGGAGTTTGAGGAAGGTCGGTACCTTCACAAGACCTAGCACAAGTGAGGCCAGGTAGGCACAAGACCTAGCACAGTACAGAAGCGGAAGGAGCACGGCGTGAAGCTGCAAGAGGACGGCGACAGGATGCTGCTCGTCTCGGCAACGGGAGAGGTGCTCGGTCGGGCGACGTACTCCAGGCGAGTCCTCTGCACCGACCTGCGTCCGTGCTCAACGAGGTCAACGTCGACCACGCCGGAGGTTGTGGCCCTGCGGGCGATCGTCTCGAAGACGAAGTCGACGCCGAACCGAATGCATGCGAGTCTTGCACATGTCGGCATGGACACCATACAAAGGTCGGAAAAAAATGAGGTCGCCATTGGGCTGGACCTCAAGTCGGCGACGGGCACCGACTCCTTGTGTGTCTCGTGCGTCGGCGGGAAGCTGGCGCAGCACACCTTCCCCGACCAAGGCTCCAACGCCGAGAATGTGCTGGCCGTCGTGCACATCGACCTGTGCGGGCCATTCCGCGTGGCTACCAAGGATGGCAGCTTGTACTTCTTGCTGCTGAAGGATCGCAAGACCCGCTTCATGTGGGTAAGGCCGGTCGCCAGGAAGTTGGATGTGCTGCTGGAGTTCCGGAAGTGGTTGGTGTTGGTGGAGAGGCAGACGAAGAAGTCGGTGCTGATGTTGCGCTCGGACCGAGGAGGGGAGTTCCTCGGGAAGGGGTTCACCGACTTTGTGGACGGGCTGGGGATCGTCCACGACCTGACCTGCCCATACACCCCGCAGCAGAATGGCATGGCGGAGCAGGAGATGAGGACAGTGGTGGAGTCGGTGCGGACGATGCTGCTGCACATGGGCGTGCAGCACCACTGGTGGCACCTCGCTCTGCGGCAGGCCGTCTGGGTCCGCATCTGCCTTGAGAGGTCGACGCTGCCGTTGGGGACGACGCCGTACCAGCTGCTAGCCGGGCAAAAGCCTGACTTGTCGCTGGCCCGGGTGTGGGGCTGCATGGCGCAGTTCCTTGTCCCCGAGCAGCAGCGTGGTGGGAAGTTGAAGCCGAAGGTCCAGTGGGGCCTTCACCTCGGCGTGTCGGCAGAGAGCAAGGGCTGGGAGCTCCTCGACATCGATGCCAACCGGGTGGTCACCACGTCGGACGTGGTGTTCTACGAGGATATGTTGCTGGAGGTGTGGAAGTCGGAGCACGGGCCGGTCTCAGGTCGGACGCCTACTACCTCGCCGATTGACACCTCGACGGCGACGATGCCTCTGCTCACCGAGGTCGGTGAGCTTGCCGCTGAGGACGCCGAGGTCGTCCGTCCCCCTTCCCCCTCCCCTACGACCCCAGCCCCTCCCCTCGTAGCCGACTTGCGCGTGCTGACTCCTATGTCGGCCTCCGGCGAAGAGGGGAGTAGTGGGACATCACCTTTGGCGCCGGCCAAGGGCATCGCCGGTGGCCGTTGTGACGAAAGGCACGTCGACGTGGGATTGAAGCCGACGTCGACCGGGGAGGAGCAGGTCGAGGAGCAGCAGCCGACAGGAGAGGAGTCAGCAGTGCGGTCGGCAACCAGACAGGTTGACGTGGGATTGAAGCCGACCACAAGGGAGAGGTCGACCACGAAGTCGACTGAGGAGCAGTAGGACGATGAGGGCAGTGAAGACGGTGACGAAGGAGGAGACCCTGAGGAGTCCACCAAGAGTTACGTGGTGGAGTTTCCGCCTGAACCCCGGAAGTCAGGCCGACTTCGGAGGCCACCCGACTTTTTCGTCCCCGCTGCCTTCACCACGATGTTCGAAAGGGACGACGACGACCTGGCGTATGGCGACGCCAATGAGGATGAGGAGTTTCCGGAGCTCGACCCCGACATGCATGCCGACCCCGAGCACCGCTGGGACATCTTGACCATGACGGTGAAGGAGGCGTTGGCGAGCTGGAAGGGCCCGGCAGTGAAGGCCGCCATGGAGGAGGAGATCCGCAGCCTCATCAGCATGGGGACTTGGGAGTTGGTCGAACGCCCGCCGGGAGTGAACGTCATGAAGAACCGGTGGGTGTTGACGACGAAGTACCACGTCGACGATACCGTTGAGCGCGAGAAGGCGAGGCTGGTTGTGAAGGGTTTCACGTAGGTGTACGGCGCCGACTACGACGAGACGTTTGCGCCGGTGGGCAGCTACGTCACGCTGAGGATCCTCCTCAGCATCGTCGCCGTCCGCAACCTCAACCTGATGCAGCTCGACATGAAGAACACCTTCTTGCAGAGCAAGCTCGACAGGGTGCTCTACATGTCCCAGCCGGACTACTTCAACGACGGGACCGGCCGGTGTGCAAGGTGCTGAAGAGCCTGTATGGGCTAAAGCAGTCGCCGCTGCTGTGGTACTTGGCGCTCAACGACGTGCTGGTCGGCGCTGGGTGGAAGAAGAGCCAGGTCGACGAGGCTCTCTACTTCAAGGTCGGAGAGGACGGAGTGGCCTGCTGGGTGTTGGTCTACGTCGATGACCTGCTTGCCGCCAGCAGCAACATCGAGATGCTGAAGGAGCTGAAGGAGTTGCTGGAGTCCGCCTTCGAGCTGTGTGAGATCTCGCCGGTGCAGAAGTACCTCGGGCTAGAGATCGTCCGCGATAGGTCGACGGGGAAGCTGTGGCTGCACCAGCAGGGCCACGCCGACAAGCTGCGTAGGCACTCCATCGACAAGGAGCAGACCGGGCGCACCCCGAAGACGCCGGTCTCGGTCGATGCCTACGCCGAGCTCACGTTCGATGACGAGGAGGCACAGGAGCGGCAGGAGGAGGAGTACCGGCAGAAGGTTGGCTCGCAAAGGAGTGCGACGGTCGCCCACGCAACGTTGGCCAGTCCGAACTCAGTGGTGGTATCCCGAGGTTGACGTGGCGGATCAGGTGGAGCCGTCAGCACGAAGAAGACTAGGTGCGTGCGCTGTTCAGGTGACAAGGCTTAGCCCTCCAATCATCAACGAGCACCTGCAAAGTAGGTGCGCTGCTGTTCTACGGGAGCAACACTGGCACGCCGTCAACCTGCAGCGTTGGCACGCTGTCGACTTTGCACTGCTGGAGCGTGGTCGACCAAGTCGTGCTCGAACGCGGTCGACCATGCTGTGCTGGCAGTCGACCGACCTGAATGCTAGCTCTGATGTAGTCTTGCCATGCCAACTTGATTGTACCTTTTTTTTTTCAACTTTCTCTAGTGAGACTCTTGCAATTATTGCTTCGTGAATTAGCAAGCAGTTTGAGCACTTGGAAAACAACTAAGAACCAACGATCGCAGAGACCACACGATTACCCATGCCTAGCCCATAGTCTAGCTCCCGTTGTAGTAGTTATCTCCACACCTGTTGCACTTGTCGCCAGTGGGTCCGTTGCTCCTGCCACTCGTCTTAGCCGCGGAGCCAGTCACTCCAGTAGTCCGTCGCCCTTGCTTTGGTAGCCACTGAGTCAGCCGCTCCTGTGCCCGTGCCTCTGCAGCTTAAGTCGTTGCCTCCCATCTTCTCTCCTCCCATAGTCTCTCCTCTACTCACTCGCCCTCTGTGTTAGCCTCTAGCTTTGCTTGCAATTGTAAAACCTGCTCTATGAATGCTTGCTATGCTGATTATACCCCAATTTGACTATGGGGGTGTGTCACAATATAATGCTTGTCTAGTCTGTAGTGGGGTACTCAATAGTGAGTATACCCTTTTAGGGCTTGCTATTTGTACCTCCCTTCTTTCTAGTCAACCCCTCTTTTGCCTAATTCTCACTTGCCTAGCTAGGTAAACCCTAGCTATGGCTCCTCACTATACCTACTACTCTCACAGGGTGATACGGTATTTTTGGGGAGAGGTTTTGAGTACACAGCCCATAACAAGTCCATTAGGCTGGATTCACGTCCAATAATATGAGCACATGCACATTAACCCATCACGCTAACCAAGCGTTCTGACCAATGGGAGAAGGCACATGGCACGATTGCAGGGTTACATGCCTTTGACGATCGGGGAGTTCATTATGCACAGGGCCTCAGAAGTCAGGATTTTTACCCAGATTTTCTGAATTTTCAAGGTGTTTTTATCAAGTGACCCTGAACTTTCCGCCTTTCATTTTTGTATACATTTTTTTTCAGTTTTTTCTTTTCTTAAGATTCTGACACTGATTTTTCCGTGTTTTGATTCTTCTGGCATCGACGAATCAGAGTTGTATCGCGTTCGACCCTGAAACTGAAGATAAAATTGCGTGAATCTGTTAAGATAGCCTGTTAGACTTAGATATTAGGAGATAGGAGATGGCAAGACTAGGGAGAGGTTTGGCCAATGAATGGGGGTTCAATATGGAGAGAGATACAAGATATACGAAAGGTGGCAAAAGGAGGTATACCACCAAGAGACTACACTACTAGCTATTGTATACCTGTTGGTGGTATACCTCCTTTTGCCAGGGCGAGGCCAAGCACAAACAGGGCGCTTCACATCCGTGGGAGCAGCCTTGTCACTCTGTAGTAGCTCCCTGGCATCACTCGGTAGGTCTGCCTCGCACTGAGCTAGCCAGCGGTAGAGAGCGCAGGAGTCTGTGTACGGTCCCATCATCTGCACCCGTGTCCCCGTCAGGGGCCCTAACTGGTTATCATCTTCAGTGTGATGCGTTTGCTATCATCTTTCAGGAGCGATCGAACGGTGTGAATAACACATTCAGCGCCGCCCGCGTCTGCTACTCCATATTGCACGAGCAGGAAAAATTCCCTTATGTTCGGCGCCAATTCGTGCAGCGCCGCTTTCGCCACTACTCTGAGTATGGTTTCGCCAATGGCTATAGGTCTTACCCCGCCTCCTGGTTTTTCTAGAGCGATGAGATGCGATGGGAGTAGCAGGTCGCGAATTTCCTGGGTCTGGTGTGTTCCAAGCAGGCGATTAACTACGCGCGTGAGTAGTATAAGGGCCTCCTCGTTTGTGTGGGCGGGATCCTTCAGGTGCTCGAAACATGTGCCTCATGGGCCTGCTCCCACCCAATTCGGGCATTTCGCCAAAAGTTCGCGGAGGTCGTCCTGGCTGATGCTGAGTGAGGCCGCATTGTACCTAGTAACCACATTGGGGGTTGGAGTTTCCGCGTTGGGGTGTTTCGCTCGTAGTGCTGCGAGTGTCTCTGGCGATGTCTCTGCTAGTGGTGTTACGCGTAACGCTGCCACCGCTTTTGAGATATTTCCTTTTTTTATGAGTCCCTCCGCTCTTGCACATAGGCCCATGTCATCCGGCTGGTGTCCTACCGGGCCCCCTGTATTGGGGATGACACAGGCCTCGGTGTAGAGGTTTTCCCATCTGCCGAGCCTGTGCTCGATCTCGGCCCATCGACTCCCTTCAACCGGCTCTGGCATTGATCGTAGGGTCAACCTAGGTAGAAACAGCAGCGCCTTCCAGCCTCCTGAGCAGTCCGGATATGGGATAGCCTGAGGAGTGGGGTCATCAGGCGTTGGGTGTAGGTCTCTAGAATCTTAGTTGGCAACCATCGAACCAGGAAGGGCTGGTTGCTCTGCTGGAGTTTCGTTGTATCCCAAGCCGCCGCCTGTTGCCAAAGTCCAACGTCACTCGCCAGGTCCGATGGTTGACGTATGCTGGGCCCTGGTTATGGTGCTGGTGTCGCATCATCCCTAGGGGCCTCAGTGTCGATTCTCCCGCCTACTCCAGCCCTTGCTCTGCCCCTTGTGATGGCTCTCTCTTCCCTTTCCTCGTCCTCCTGCGAGGCTTCCAATTCCCCGTGCTCATTTTCTGGGTTGAATTTGCTCCCGCTGTCATTGTTGTCAGCACTCCCTTCCTCCTCATTCGCCACCTCGTGCTCTTTCTCAGGCCGATTGTGGCATTCCCGCTACGTCCCGGATCTCTCCAGCGCTGGTTCTCCGCCCACAACGGGCCCTCTCCCCCCTCTTCCTCCGCGCCTCCCGCCCTGGTCTCCGCGTGTGCCGACCCTGCCTGCACTGTTGCTCCCTCCTTGACCGCCGTTGATCGCGCCCGTTCGCCTCGGCGGCATCTACAGTGCCCTTCCTACGATCGCGCATCTGCCATTCGGTGGTCCCTAGGCGATTCTGCCTCCTCTCGCGCGGCTACGGGTCTCTCTTCCTTCCGTTTGTAGCTGGGCGTCATCAGCGGCGGCTGTTGCGGGTCTCAACTGTGGTTGTGGCCGAGTTTTTGCTTGTTCGTTCTACAGTCCTCGTCTGTCTCTGTTCCCTACAGCTTCCCTCCCCGTCGTTCCTTCGGATGGCTGACGATGCTCTTGGGCTTGTGGCCTCTACTCTTGCAGATGCCATCCCCGGAGAGGCCCCGGGGGACTAGTTGCCAGGCTTGCTCTGAGCCTTCGCGGTGCTGGCTGGGTGCGGATCTTCCTCCCGTGCCTCCCGCAGCCAGCGCGGTCGGCGTGGTGGTTCTCGCGAGCTGGTGTATCGCTCTCCTCCTGGGCGTACTCATGCGTTCCTGTGTCCGCGCCAGCAGCAGTCGTTTCGGCGCACTCACCGCTAGCCCTTCTTCCCTCCACCTCTTCCGCGTCCTCCGCGTTTGTCCCCACTACGGTTCCCTCCATCACAGCCACCTTCACTCCCACCTCCTTACTTGCCGTTTCCACAGCCTCTGTCGTCGCCTCTTCAAACTCAGCAGTCGTCTGCTCTTCAGCCGGCTTCTCTGCCGCATTCCTCTCAGATGCCGCCCATGTTACCTGCCCCTGTGGCTGTTTTGACGGCTTCCCCTGCTGTCCCTCCTTCCCCCAAGGGTGCGGTCCCCAAGCTGCTCCAGGGGGGGCGTGAGATCCCGATACCGTGGGAGGCGTTGTCGACTCCTCCACAGCCTGCTGCACCTGTTGCCTCCGGCGCAATCCTGGATGAGCGTTGGAGTAGGTGGGGGGAGTGCCCTCCTGTTGAGCGGCTTCTTCTTGTCGAGCAGCGCGTTGCGACCGTGGGGACTGTCCTGGAGCTGCTGGCGGGGGTGCTTGACCAGCTGCATGCGAATCTGAGGCGCGGGCGTGTTGCTTGCCTGCTGCTGTTGAAGAAGGAGCGGGCGGCTGCCGTGGCGGCGGCAAGACAGATGATGCTGAGCTTCCCACGGATGGGTCTCGTGACCGGCTCCCCCGGGGTGGGTTCTGGTCCTGGGCCTTCCGCCGTGAGGCGGTTGGCTTCTTCTGCCCGTTGCACCCCCCTTGACGTTGTACCAGCCGCCGCAGCGCTGTTGCGCTGGTTGGACGGACGGCTGGCTTTGATTCTCGCCGAGTAGTCGCCGGTTTCCCTTGCCCGGCCCTGTTTGTGCTTGGCCTCGCCCTGGGCTTCCCCATGCTGGATGTGGTCACGCCTAGGGGTGTTGTAGTGAGAGCCCCTGCCATTGTTGTATGTTGTAGTCCTTGCTATAATAGTGAGTGTTCCTTTTGACCTTGCCACCCCTGACGCCGGCGCGAGCCGCTGGGTTGGGGAGATGAACACACCAGCAACTAATGAGGATAGGATGGCAGATTCTGGCTTAAGAGGAGGGATGTACTCACTATAGGCATGGCTTAAGCTACACTAGTAGAGGTTACTCTCTGTCTCTCCCTCTCTCTCTCTCTCTCTCTCTCTCTCTCTCTCTCTCTCTCTCTCTCTCTCTCTCTCTCTCTCTCATGGTCCGTATATTGATATGGCCAAAAGGTACACACGTACAGGTTCGGTAAGCATGCAAGTCAAAACCTATCCCATCTACAGTTCCACATGTGGCTCCAAAACAGCAAAGCAATCTCCTAGGTGTAGTTCATGGCCGATACCCCCGACCGGGGGGTTCTCAGCGGCTGCCGCCTCACCCAGCTTCATGAGCAACCCCACTGACTGTGCTCTCTGAAGTGCAACCGACCACCGCTGCCTGAACTGATGCAGAAACTGAGCAGCATAGTAGGAGTTAGAATCGGCGTTGAAGTGGCGCCGAGCCGCCGTGTCTGCCAGGAGTTTCAGGAAGACGGGGACCTCTGCACAGGGGCAGCCATAGGTCTCCACCGCCAATGGGAAGAAACCAACCGTCTCAGGTCTACTTGCATAGTGCCCAATCTTTTTGTCTGCCTGCTCTCTTGCCGCCCATCCCCTTCCTTTCTGTGCCTCCGGGTCCCGTATGCTGATAGGGTCAGTCACAGTCACATCACACACCCATACTGCCCCGCTGCTCCTGTCGGTCATGGTGAAGTCGGCCGTCTGCTCTTCGATGGGGCAATGGGCCGCCGACTCACTGTGGACTATGAATCCCGCATCTTGGGCCATGCTAATGCAGGCGTCACGGACCTCGTTGTGAGTGTTGATGCGGTGCTTGCCGGTGCCGCAGCGTAGGAGGTGATTTGGGAGGCGGGGGTCGATGATCGCTGTGTGGTCCGTGCAGTCACAGTTTTTTGGGAGTGGAGAAGGGCAAGCCGAGCCGAAATCTGACGGCGTTGGCGAAGTGGACCGGTCCAATGCGCCTAATCGGGGCTATTGGTATCGCTGTCAACCAATCCCCAGCACCGTATCCCGTCAAGGAGAACATCCGCTGCGTGTGGCCCGCAAACGAATTCAGCGGCATCTTCCTCGTTTCCTGAACCTGCACCGCGTAGCGACTGCCGTGGACTTGGAGGGCGAGGGCGTGCTGCAGCTTAACGTCCGTCCATTTCAGACGCTCCCGTTCCAACAGTTTACGTGCGTCCAAAGGCAGGGTGGTCTCGCACTCAGTGAGCCAGGAGTGGAGTGGAGTGCTCTCGTCTATCCGCGGGAGCATATGGCCGACTGCGTGCGACAGGGCAGAATCTGGGGACAGAGCGAGCGTGGAGAAGAGCTGCGCCGCCTGCGTGAAACTTGCGACGAATCCGTATACGCCCTCGATGAGAGGGTCTGTAATCCCCACACCCCCAAGAGACGGAGGAAGGGTCGCTTGAGCCCACACACGCGACAGCTCCGCTCTACCCGCTGGAGCTCGGATATTGCACGAGGTAAGCAATGTCATCAAGAGATCGCGGCCCCACTGCGTCCAAGTGTCCCGGGAGACGAGATTGAGGGGGGTCGTCCGTGTGAGGTACGCCACGCGCCAGGAGATGCAGCGCGTGATCAGCAGCGAAGCGACCTGCGGATCCGCTCGCTCGATGAGTGGCAAGGGCTTGGCCATCTCCCCCAATTGCCCAGCCAGGAAAGTAGATGCCCGTCTGCTGCACCGATGAAACTTCCCAAGAGCCGGACGCCGTCCTTGCAGAAAGGGACTGCTCGCGGCAGCTCGGTTGAGTCGCACGTGCGTGCGCTCCATGCCGTGCACTTCTGCGAGTTGTGCTTCAGGCCCAAGATTTCCAGCTTTGAGGTGAAGTGGGTGAAGGCAGCTACAGTTGCACGTTTTTCCCCCACGAAGGTCACGTCGTCCGCATACGCCAAACAAAGCACATCAGGGTGCGCTGCTGCAGTGTCGCGAAGTGTGGGGTGAATCCCCGCAGCGAACAGGAGAGGGCCCAGTGGGTCGCCCTGGCAAACGCCTTGTTCACTTTGCAAGGGGTCGCTTGAAAAATTTGCATCCAGATGCAGCTGCGACGGGTTACCGTAAGTCAGTTTGACCAGCGGTAGTAGTGGCGAAAGGCTGGGTTCTTGTAACGCAACGGCGATAGCCTATCGCGAAATGCTGTTGAAAGCATTCGCGATGTCGGCTTGCAGTACCAGGCTGTTCGGGTGGCCATCCACGTACGTTCGGGTTGCATGAATTATTGCTTCCGCTCCACCCGGCACTGCCACGCCGTACTGTAGGGGTAGGAAGTATTCACGTGCAACATCCCCCATGACCAAGAGCGCAGCCTTGGCAGCCAGCCGCATCAGGCACTCGCCTATTGCGATTGGTCGGGCCCCGCCCCCAGGTTTGGCCAGGGCTATGAGTCGAGATGCTGTGAGCAGGTCCGCCACCGAGTATGGGAGATTTCCTCCCAGAATTGTATTAACCAATGCATGCAGATGGGTGCTGACGGATGCGTTGGATATTGCAGCGTCTCGCAGGTGCTCAAATGTTGTACCCGAAGGTCCGGCACCGACACCATTCTCGCATCGCCCAAGGAGCTTCGCAAATTCCGCATGGGAAATGCCCAGGGGCTGAGTGTCGGCTGCTTGCCAGGTCAGCGGTTCATCGCCCGCTGGTGGATGCTTATGTCGGAGCTCGTCCAGGATTTCTGGACTCGGTGTACAGATGGGTGTTGACTCGAGCGCCAGCACGGCTCTGCGCAGACTGCCACGTTTTGCCAATCCCTCGGCTCTGCTCAGTACACCTGTCACATCGGGTCGGTGGCGTGGGGGCGGAGGGGCGTTGACCGCGTTTACCGCATCCTGGTAGAGCTGCGACCATTCGCCACACTGGAAAGCCCGAAGACGGGCCTTGATTTGCGGCCATTTTGGGTGTTTTGGCGAAGCCTGGCGAAGGGTCAGACGCGGGAGGAAAAGAAGCAGTTTCCAACCCGCTTCGGAGTCAGGGTTTCGCGAGAGGTGGTGTAGCCGGGTCAGGAGTGCCAGCGAAAATAACTGGCTCAGGTTTGGCGGTAATTGTCTCGACAGCGGCGGTTGGCGACTGTCGCAGAGGGCGGAGATGTCCCAATTCGCGATGTCAGCGAATTTATCCCCCATCTCCGCCAGCTCCACTGGCGAAAAACAGCGGGGGCGGTGCGGGGCCGATCCTGACACAAGGTGAAGGGATGCGGTCCGATGTCTGCGTGCACGACCCGATGTCGTTGGTTGCTGCCGAGTTGGATTCTCATCCGTTCGATCAGCATCCAATGGCCCTGCACGCCCCTCTGTTCCCGCTGTGGGTAAATTGGCTGTCCCAGGTATTCTCCTCTCCGTCCCTACTCTCGTTGCCTCTGCTCCATCCCCTTCATCATCATTTTCACTCTCTGGCTCTGCTTCCATGGTTTAAGAGGGGTCATTTCTCTCCCCTTCCTCATTGGCAACAACTAGAGCAATTAAAGCCCGACGTCCCGCAGCCTGAAACCCGTTCTCCGGCCCTCCACCCGTTCCGCTAACCGCCTGCCTCCTCTCTTCCCGCGCTGCTCGGCCTCGCGATGGTGATTGCTGGAGCTCCCGAGCCGTCGCCAGAGCGCGTTGCCGCCTGGTCGGCAATGGTCGCCAAGCCTCAGTCTGAGCCCGGAAAGGCGACCACGGCGACGAAGCTCCCGGTGCCTCTGGCTCTGAAGCCCTCGACAACATCCGCTGAAAAGCCTCCTCGCCCCGAACTCGCGGCTCCCCTTGCCGCAGCTGGCGCTCACTTTGCGGCCCCCGCTGCTGCTGAGCGGTCCGCCCCGTCTGCGCCAACTGCTCCCCAGTCTCCACTTGAAGCCACGACAAAGACTGACGCCGCACTCCCGGCTCCCGCTCCCGTTGGGCCACCAGCTGCTGGCCACGAGCTGCAGAATTCTGCGCCTGCTTCGTCCATGCTCCCGGTGTCCGCCACCATTGGCGGCCCTGTACAGTTGAATGTGCCCTCTGTAGTGGACCTGGCTGCCCCTGTTGCGCCGCCCGTGGCCCAGCAGGTGCAGCTGGCGTCGCAGTCTCGTCCTCCCTCGCCGGACCGTCGCCTGTCTCGCCCCCAATCCCCAGCGCCCCAACAGGATCGGGCGTCCTCTCGGCGCCGGCGCAATTCTCCCCGGCGCAATCAACGGTCGGGTCAGTGGCATCCTCACCGTGGCGGTCGCGGTGGCTGGTGGGGTTCTCACGGTCGCAATGGCGAGGGGTCATATGATCCGCCCGTGAGGATGGCGGATCTGCAAAAGGCGGTAACGACCGCGATGCATGAGGAGAGGGCTGCTCAGACCCAAGGCAGCTCGCACGTTGCCGCCTCCTATCCAGCTCAGCATTAGGCGGCGCTTACTGGGGTTCCGCTCCCTGCTGCGCCAGTCCAATCTCGCGTTCCGGCCCCATCGCCTCCTGCTGTTGCCGCGTCTGCTCCCGTTCCAGGGTCGCGGTTGCATCTTCCGCCCGTTCCGCCCGTGGCGGGAGTAGAATTTGTGGCTGTGGGAAGCTCGGCGGGTGGCCCGGCTCCTCCTGCCGTTGAGGAGCCATTCCAGTTCCTTGCTCACGCGCTGCAACCCTAAACCCTAAACCCTGGGCCTCTCTCTCTCTCTCTCTCTCTCTCTCTCTCTCTCTCTCTCTCTCTCTCTCTCTCTCTCTCTCTCTCTCTCTCTCCTCTCTCTCCTCTCGCGAGCCGCTCGGTTAGGAGAAACAAATGAAAAGGAAACCGAACAATGAAGAGAAATAGCTGCGGAGGAGCACTTTATA